AGCTCACCAGCAAGAAGAAAGTACATGGTCTGATGATAAAATAAAAACAATTTTCCGGTCAACAAAGAAGAACTCGTAAAATGAAAGGAAAATTTACATCCGTTTTGGAAATCCTTTAAAATATTTTGTCATTTTGGATGGCTAACCAAGTTACTTCCAAAATTTGGTTTAAAAGATTTTGATGCTAGTTAAGTTTTAATAGCATCAATATTTTCTTGATTAGCTTTTAAAAAAACTGGCCAAGCAATTAGAAAATCTCATTTTAAATTTAATTCCTAAAAACGTTTCTGCATTGAGTCATGCTTTGGATACTCCTCAGTCTAGATTGGACTTAGAAAAACTAATAAAATATTTTCAAATTAAAATTTTCAGATCATTAATTTGGTCATTAATCAAGAAAGTCGCTTAAATCCAAAGCAATGTCGAATGTTTGCTAATCTTTCCTTGTACATCAGAAAGAAAGAACGTAAAGGCATGAAAGCATCAAAAAGTTTGTTCCAAAGCAATAAAACCCATTTCAAGTGACTTGACATAAGCTACACTTACAGTTCATGAGTATTTGTAGCATTTTTTTTTAATTAAAATTTTTTTTTATTCAGAAGAGGAAAATTTCAGTAAATTTATCAAGAAAAAATTTTACACGACAATGAAAATGAGATGATGATGAGAAGGAGAGACAGACAACATCTAGAAAAACAGAAGTAAAGAACGAGCCTTTAATCAATTTATTTTATTTATGGTTATTGTTATGATTGTTTTAATTTTCTTAATGACAAATGTCGTCGCTTAAAAGTGAGAAAAATGCCATTGAAACTGAAAGGAAAGTTTCCTCGACATCATCACCAAATTCATCACACTCATTTATTACTACAGGCACACTATACTTGGATACTAAAAAGCAATAATTTCCCTCCATAATTATAATTAAAATTACTTTTATCATAATAAACATTTCGTGCTACATATTTTCACGTTTTTACTTTTATTTATGGCATTGCCTTTTTATTACTACGTTTTTCTTAACTTGCTTTCTTATCTGTTTGATTGATTGATTGATTGATTGATTGATTGTCCGCAAAATTTCGTACTTTTGTAATTGATTTTTCGACCACTTCTACTGCTCCAATCGAGATCAAATTTTTTATACACTCGTATTCCTGGTGACAATACAATATTTTAATACTTTGGAAACACAAAAATGCTTAATTATAGTACAATTTATGTAAAAGTTTTTTATATGGGAAAAAATCCAATGTCAATGATATAAAATTTTGATTTGTATTAAATATTATACATGTGATGCTCTAAAGTCATTTATATGATTCATTATAGTTTAATTAATATTACTAATTATTAATTATACCATAAATTTGAGCAGCTAAAGATATTCTGGTAAGACAAAAAAATTGACATGTAATTTTTTCATGAATATTCGTAAGTGAAAATTTGAATTTTCAAAAAAACCGTTAAGCACAAGTCCGTTACGAATTAATGCAAAATAACTATTAATATGCGATGTGCATTTAACACACATAATTTGAGCATAAATTTATGCTGTTTTAAATGTATTGCATTATTTATAACACTTCACCAACTTAATTAAATTGACTTTTCTTTTTATTAACGGCTTGACGTATTTTTGCATAACATATAAATGATATTCATTGAATTTAAATTTGAAAATCCGTTATAAATACGTTACATATGTGATTTGCATCTTTATAGTAAGAATCCACACGTTATGAAGTAGAAATGGTACAGATAAACACAAAATCTTTACGAGTGATTTTTAATGTACTTTACTAATGAATGCTTTAAAAAAATTAAATTTTATAAAACGAATGAAAAATTTTGAAAGTCGTTACTAATTTCCCATTGCACAATGATTCAGATTTGAAAAAAATGTTCAAATAATCCTTGTGCATAATATTTTTCAGACACATTGAAGTAATGAAATTTTTTATTGATATTCTCTAGTTTAGGACTTTTAATGCCTTTAATCTTACTTGATTATTGATTCCTCAAAATATTAAGTCATGAAATTGAGGATAAATAAGTTTTTTTTTACAAATTTCACAAATGTTTATCAAAAAATTTGGCGCACGATAGTAATTTGTATGAAAAATTAACTAATTTTCAATCGCAAATATCTCGCTTCGGGCATATTTGGGCATGTACACATTAATATGGAAGGTTAATTAGACTTTGTTCTTTATATTTAAATAGGTTTGGTAGAAGCGGAAAGACGCGAATTTAACTTATGAGTGTTTAAAGTCTTGGTAAATTTCAAAAAAATTAATCATGTATATTCGCCCAATTAATAGGTTTTCTTTTGGTTTCTTCACACAAACACAAAGTACTAAGCTTAATTAAGCTGGTTATCAGGATTAAAACAAGAAATTTGAAGTGGAAAGGAGAAAAAATTTAAGAAAAATATTTGTTGTCATTTTGTAAACAAATTTATTGGCATCTTAAAATCGAATTTTTGTGAATTAGACAACAAATTGGAATGTGATATTTTTACAGAACATAAAACACATCATGTTCTTTAATCTGGCATTTAAAACATATAGTTTAATTAACTTGTTATTTTTGAATTTTTGAACATTTTTTTCAAATCTGAATCATTGTGCATTGAAAACTGGTAATTTATAAACAGTTGAACGTAACGGAGTGAAACGAAGTGGAGTTCAACACACCTGTAACCTATAAACCTACTGTAATCTATAAACAGTTGAACGTAACGAAGTGAAACGAAGTGGAGTTCAACACACCTGTAACCTATAAACCTACTGTAATCTATAAACAGTTGAACGTAACGAAGTGAAACGAAGTGGAGTTCAACACACCTGTAACCTATGAACCTACTGTAATCTATAAACAGTTGAACGTAACGAAGTGCAACGAAGTGAAGTTCAACACACCTGTAACCTATGAACCTACTGTAATCTATAAACAGTTGAACGTAACGAAGTGCAACGAAGTGGAGTTCAACACACCTGTAACCTATGAACCTACTGTAATCTATAAACATAAATTTGAGCAGCTAAAGATATTCTGGTAAGACAAAAAAATTGACATGTAATTTTTTCATGAATATTCGTAAGTGAAAATTTGAATTTTCAAAAAAACCGTTAAGCACAAGTCCGTTACGAATTAATGCAAAATAACTATTAATATGCGATGTGCATTTAACACACATAATTTGAGCATAAATTTATGCTGTTTTAAATGTATTGCATTATTTATAACACTTCACCAACTTAATTAAATTGACTTTTCTTTTTATTAACGGCTTGACGTATTTTTGCATAACATATAAATGATATTCATTGAATTTAAATTTGAAAATCCGTTATAAATACGTTACATATGTGATTTGCATCTTTATAGTAAGAATCCACACGTTATGAAGTAGAAATGGTACAGATAAACACAAAATCTTTACGAGTGATTTTTAATGTACTTTACTAATGAATGCTTTAAAAAAATTAAATTTTATAAAACGAATGAAAAAATTTTGAAAGTCGTTACTAATTTCCCATTGAAAACTGGTAATTTATAAACAGTTGAACGTAACGGAGTGAAACGAAGTGGAGTTCAACACACCTGTAACCTATAAACCTACTGTAATCTATAAACAGTTGAACGTAACGAAGTGAAACGAAGTGGAGTTCAACACACCTGTAACCTATAAACCTACTGTAATCTATAAACAGTTGAACGTAACGAAGTGAAACGAAGTGGAGTTCAACACACCTGTAACCTATGAACCTACTGTAATCTATAAACAGTTGAACGTAACGAAGTGCAACGAAGTGAAGTTCAACACACCTGTAACCTATAAACCTACTGTAATCTTTAAACAGTTGAACGTAACGAAGTGCAACGAAGTGAAGTTCAACACACCTGTAACCTATAAACCTACTGTAATCTATAAACAGTTGAACGTAACGAAGTGTAACGAAGTGAAGTTCAACACACCTGTAACCTATAAACCTACTGTAATCTATAAACAGTTGAACGTAACGAAGTGCAACGAAGTGGAGTTCAACGCACCTGTAACCTATGAACCTACTGTAATCTATAAACAGTTGAACGTAACGAAGTGCAACGAAGTGAAGTTCAACACACCTGTAACCTATGAACCCCCTATAATCTTTATTTCTCAATTTTATTAGAATAAGACTAAAAAGTTGAAAATAAAATACTTTATAAAAAAAACTTTTTAAAAAAACTACGTTTTTCGCGTAGACTAAAAAGTAGAAAATAACTTTTATTCTTGGTTGTAAAGAATTTGGTTTTTAAATTTTCAGATTATATTTAATAAATTTTTATATCCTAGTCAATATTGTTCACAAAGTTTCGAATAAGTGCATTTTGATCTTATCGTATAACTCAACAACTTAAAAACGTGGGCGCATTATAAGAGGAGAAATAAGTTTATGTGAAATCAATACTTTATGATAAACTTAAATTAATGCGCCCACGTTTTTAAGTTGTTGAGTTATACGATAAGATCAAAATGCACTTATTCGAAACTTTGTGAACAATATTGACTAGGATATAAGAATTTATTAAATATAATCTGAAAATTTAAAAACCAAATTCTTTACAACCAAGAATAAAAGTTATTTTCTACTTTTTAGTCTACGCGAAAAACGTAGTTTTTTTAAAAAGTTTTTTTTATAAAGTATTTTTTCCTTTCTCTTTCCAGAACAAAAAGAAGTAGAAGAGGATTGAAAGAGCCATTCGAGAGTGGGAATTTAAGTTACAATATTTAATTTGGCGCTTTTTTTGAGGTTAACATGCATTTATTCGTGGTTAAGTCTTTAAATCTTTGCTCCGCAGAACTCATGACTTAAAGTCGACTAGCAACTTTATTTTATTCCCTGTAAAACAATAAGCTTTAGGTCAACAAAGACAGAATGAAACTTAATTGTCTTTTCATATTGTTGTTGAGTTGCTTCTTTCATTGAGACCAAAAAAGATGACAGAGAGAAGAAGAGATGAATGAAAGAATGAGAAAAAGTATTGAGCTGCGGTATGCTCATAATAACAAAGAGCAAAGAGTAAGGAAAAAGGTTAAAGTTAGCAACAATCATACTAAGAGTTCATAAAGCATTAATTGTCTGTTTTTAATGTTCATTTAGAGCAATCAAAAATGGAACGCGAAAAAGGAATTTCATTCAAATAATTAAGTTTATGAAAAAAAATTTCACTTTCTGTTTTTCATGTTGGAAATTTCCCTCAGCATGACAAAAAGGAAAATTATTCTCTTGCCATTTCCCATTCCTCTGTTAATAAAGCTGTTCATTATAGTGAAATGGAATTTCTTACATCAAGCTGTGCTTTAAAGTAAAACAAAAATTTTCTTTAATGAATTCATAATGAACCTCTTTCTGGGAAATCCTTGAATTAGTGCTCATTAGAGAGGTAAATTTTCCTTAAGAAAATCATAATTCGGTACCTTCTATACTCATGCATACTGCCATATCAAATAAAAAAGCTTGAAGGAAATTTCAACATTTTTCCTTTCCCAAATAATTGTCAACTCGTTTTTTCGTCTCATTCACTCGTCTTAATTTTATGATTCCTTAATTTCTTAACCCCTTTTTCTAAAAGCGTCAAGGAAAATTGCTTCAAATTAAAAAGTTTTTCCTCATTTTTTTCTCTCATGCAATAAAAGTTTAACATGCTACTGCAAATATATCGCATATATACACATCATTACTTCCGCGGGGAACTTTTTATTTTTAAAAGTTGTCAATTTGGGATCCAAAGGATTTAACTTTGTTATAACCAATATCGAACCCTGCTCGAACATTAAAATTTTCATAATATTACGGATGTATTTCCAATATTTAAGATTGATTCTAAGCTTGTGTCGCTTTAACGGGGAGTGCCTATTAAAATAACGAATGTCAAAAATTCGAAACCTCATTTTTTCGTCTATTTTTCTCCTCGTATAATTTTCAAATTTTCAAAAAACGTAAACTTAATTTTGCAGGTAACGGTTCATAAAAATTTGAAAATTATGCTATGAAAATAAAAATTCAAAAAAATGAGATTTCGAATTTTTGAAAGTCGGTTTATTAATAAGCACTCTTTACCGGGCTTTAAATCATACTAGTGTATACATTGTCAGGTATTCAACAAAATTACTAATCGAGACAGGATATTGAGACACATTCTTGTTACATAAAATGTCAAGTTTTATGCTTAAATTCTCTTATTATTTATGCTTAGCATGGCTGTTGATTTAGTATTTTCGGATATGCTTTAAAATTAGTTTAAATAAATTATTAGACATTTACCTAAGTGAGAATTGACAAGTATCCCGAGCGGCACAAGGTGGCAGGTGTCAGTCATATGACTGTTATATGATCGTTTTGAAAAGGCAGATAACAGTTATATGACGGTTATTTGGTAGCAATTATATGACAATTTTATAAAACTGTCATATGACTGCCATGTGACTGCCATGAGAAAAAAATTGATAACAGTTACCATTGTGTTTTGAAAAATTATGAAAAAAATTCATTTGAAATCGTGAGTTTGAAGTGAAACGTTCATTTTGTTGTAACTCTTGAAATTTAATCTGTGAGGACTTAATTAGTAAAATAGGATGGACTTTACTAAGGTGAGCACAAGATTTAAAAAATTTTGTTTATTTATTATTTAATAACATTCATACACATTATATAGGAACGAAAATGGCCCAAAAAAATTTTTAAGGACACATGCATGCATCTTTTTCAACATATAATCAATCGAAGTGCTCCAGGAACTTTTGAAGATTTAAGAGCAGTATCAAATACTTTGCATATAGTAATCCACAACGCACGATGGGTCAGAAAGTAGGCAGAAAAAGCTGAAAAAATTTATTAAATTTTTTTTTTCATCATATTGATTTGTTTTTCTACATTGTATCTACTATACAAGTCTTAAATAAACACAAACTTTAAACCCCTTAATATTTTTGTATTTTTTTATATTCATTTAATTTATATTTCAGCTATAACAGCCTATAAAATTGCCATATAATTGAAATAAAATTGCCATAAAATTGTCATCTCATTGCCATATAATTGCCATTTGACTGAAATTTGATTAAAGTACTGCCCTCTGTGCCTGTCATAAAACTGCTTAGATACTGTCATATAACAGTTTCCGTTTTGTGTCAATTTTTATTGATGGCAGTCATATGGCAGTCATATGGATTACTTTATCATACTATTTGGTTGACATATCGTCAACATCGATAGCAATTATCTGTCATATGACTGCCATAAAGCAGTTTTTATTGCCATCAAACGATGGCAATTGACACGTGGCAGCTGACATATGGCAGTCATATGACAGTTATATGACACCTTTGTGCCGCTCGGGTATACTTCCAATTTTATAAATTATTCGATTTTAAAATGACAATATTGTCTTAAAATCTAGCACAAGGAAGTTCATAGTTCTCTTTTGCTAGACTAAAATTTGTATACATTATACATATGATATTTCAAGCCATTAAACATTTTGTATATAAATGTACGTCGCATGAAAAGAATTAGAGGAGAAAGAGAAACTTTTTCTTAAACAGAACTAAATTGAAGACGGAAAGGAAGAGAAAGAAGAGGAAAGTGGGATATTTCTTCAAATAAGTTTCCTTCCTTCTTTCTCACCACATAATTTTCCTTCCAAGACATTGCATGTATGTTCTTGTCACTCTCATTCTACTAAGTCTAACAGTCACCTTTACTAAGATATTGTGAAAGTTTATTAAAAAGTTTTGAAAGGAAATAGCTTTGAACCTTATTATTTTCTCTTTTCAATCGACACTGACAGAGTTGTTCACTGATTTCTTAGTTCCAAGAGTTTTTAAAAAGATAATAACTTTAGTTAAGCATAAAAGCTGATACGAACAATTCATGTTCGACAGACTTATCGAAAGTCTAGGGGAGTTATAATATGCACGTTCGAAAAGTTTAAATTTGAAAAAAACCGTTACAATTTTGTTGATTTCATTGGAGTTTTTGATCGTTTTGAAAAAGATTTATCTATATTATGCTTATCATTAAATGACTACATAATATTTTCATCTAAATTTTGAATAAATCTTTCTTAATTTAGGTTTTAATTTTTTCATAATTTTCGAAAATTTCGAACTGCAGGGTATGAAACTTCGAATTTTGTATGGCAGACAGACAAATAAGACATTTTCACAAGTTTTCTTGGAAACTGTAACGGTCGAAACCATCGAATTGTTCGTATCAGCATAAAAGTATATCCTTAAGAGCTTTAAATCTTTTCCAGGCTTATAAAACTTAAACAACGGAAAACACATACATTTACGTATCTGCGAAGTTCCGATTTTATATTCTGGCACAGATGAAAAGTGAGAATACAAAAAAAAATCCTTTTTGACAAGATTACTTTTTAATTGACTTTTGCATTCACATTATAACAATGAAAATCATTGCAATGTGCAGTAAAAGAAACGGAAAATGTAAAGCACATGAAATGTCAATTATGTTGCAGAGAATTTTCATGCTTAATTAATGGGGTTACAAAAGGCTCAAAGACTTCGCTCCATAAACAAGATTCTATTCATTCCTATCCTAAAGCTGGTTAACTTTCTTTTGATGTCAAAGGAATGAATGAAACTATTTTGTATGCAAATAGTAAAATTCAAATAAAATATAACACATTCTGAATAAACAGTTGAAAGCATTGGAAGAGAGAAAACAGAATGGAAAAAAAGGTAAAAGGAAGAAAAAATTAATTTTCATCCTTTTACGTGCAGGAATTTTTTTGTTTTCTTTTCCTATTGCTACTATTATCTATAGATCGTTTCTCGGTTCCCTAAAATATATATAAACTCTGTGTAAATGAATAACATTTTTATCTTTCCATTCTTCATTCTGACTAAGCTTTTTAAAATAGTTAACACAATATAAATTTTTTCAAGGGAGATGATTCTTTCCTCTGCTGACTTAATGCTTTCAATGCAGAGGATAAAGTTTGTCAGTATGAGTAGTGAATTTATTTTTTCTGGAGCAATAGAATAATTTGCATGACTCAGTAATGCTCTTGTGGGAATATTTTATAAGAAAATTTGTACAGCTGTTGAGCTTTTTACTTCCTTAAGAATGTGTATTGCTGCTCAGTTCTTTAAAATTTCGATATAATATTGTAGATTTAAAATCGTGAATTTCATTGAAACCTTGAAATATTTGTGTCGATATTTAGAGTTAAGCATTAATGCATCCAATTCGACTAAAAGTTCCTTTCAATGTTGTTTCATTTTTCCGTTACAATTTATTTTGAATCTAAAGTTTAAAATTTATGGAATTCGTTAAAAATTGTATTGTTAAAGTAACTTTCATATGATATTAGATTCATTTCATTAGATTAAAACATCAAAACAACATTTTAAAGCTTTTTATAGAATATTTAATAAACAACTGACTTTTAAAATTTAAAATTAATTCCCACACTTTTTAACGGTAATGAAAATTTTGATTTTTATTTTGTTATTGTTTATTGTTTTTGTTCTGAAACGAGAAAATAAAGGTGATTTTTAATTTATTATAAAAGCATTAATAAAACATTAATTTCATTTTTAAGTAGATTTAAATCAAAGACAATGGCTAATAAAAAGAAAGCAACGCAAGTTACTCCTAAAAGAGACTTGAACTGTGCAAAAAATCCGAAGTCAAAACTACGACGTAAAGCAATTCGTACAAGAAAGAGAGCAACGGCTAAAAGAGCTATTGGCGTAATAGTTTTGGCAAGAACTGACATAGTTCGATCACCAACTCCAGCTTCTATGCATGATTTTGGAGATCCACAAACACCATGAGTGAAATTGCAACTAATTGCACATTAAAAGTGTATTTCTCAAGTACATGAATTAAACATACTAAATTAATCAGCTATAGTATCAATAAAAATCACATATTAATACAATGTCCTCAATTATTTTAATCTCAACTCTTATATTCTTTCAGTGAATCTTCATAAAAACAATTCTGAATATTCACATCAACTCTGATTTGTCATAATTTGCATCACGTCCTTAATATTATAAGCATTTCATCATTCCAAACTTTATAAAAACATTCTTAATAATAAACTTTCGAAAAGAAATTATGAATCCTTAGCAAATGCTGCTGCCCGAAAAAAGTTTTATCAGATTTGAGAGACATTTAATTCAAATAACATGATATCCTTTAACCCCAAAAGAATATGCTGAGGTCAGGAAAAATAAAACTTATTCTTAAGTTTTCAAAAAAAACAAAAAATTGCTTCATTTTTTGAAAGGGTTGAGAATAAAAGCTTTTTGCCTTCATTTTAATAAATATTTACTAAAGTTTTCAGAATGAGAAAAGTTGAGTAAGGCATATGTTGCCTGAATATTGACAGATTTGTGTAGCAAACATGATTAATCTAGATTTTGGATAGTTCAATATCGTAAAAGCTTAAAGCATAAAATACTAAAAATTGGTAGTTAAATCAAAGTGCATTAATCAGTTTGATGATCATTATCTAGGCTTTAACATCTAATTTCTTTTTGTAAATTTTATAAAAAGGATTTGATTTTTATTGTCGTAAGAACAGAAACAGACTTAAAAGACAGAAATTGATAATCATTGGCATACCTTAATCAGCATAAAAATTTAAATGTCATGAATTATGAAAATGGACTTGACAATTGTGATTATCGTCCAAAAAATAATTCAAGCTAGTCGATACTTCAATCTAAAAATCCCTAAAATGCAGCTACCCTAAAATGCAGATAGGACTGCCAAGATGCAGATGGTGCTGCTAAAGTGCAGATGAAATGCTGCTGCTTTAAAAAAGGTATAACGCATATAATTTTTATCGTATAAAGTGCAGATAAGATGCTGCCCAAATGTAGATCGTATAATTTCATTAAAATGCATCAATATTCGATGACTTTTTTTCTTGATGCGTGTTAATGACTTTAAATGATCCATGATGAAATTTAAGGGTAATTATTTTGTCTGACGACATATTTATGTATATATTGGGTCAGTATCCTTTTTATTAGCTCATCTATATATCTTGCAAAAATGTTACATGTCAAAATGTAACAAAACTAGTGTATCGGGTAGAAACCTAGTAGCTGCATTTTAGGGATTTTTAGATTGAGGTCTAGTCGATAGTTTTACTTCAGATAATTTAAATCATAAATTTTAATTTCACTGCATGTATGCTTGTGTCACTACAAATTAATCTCTGCTGATGAAACGTTGTCTCTCTGGTACATTTGTAAAATCAAACTTAGCTTAATCAAATAACAATTGTTTGCTTTTTGACACATTCACAAAAATTGTTTAATCCTCGTACAATAAATTTTGCCATTGTAAATCTTATATTCTTTAATTTCATTCATCTCTAGAGTGTTTACGTCTTTAGAATTTTGATTTGCTTCAATTTCTCAACAAAAAACAAGAAGAGCAAAGATTTCTCCAATTTTGAGCAGTCTTTTTGGATCGTACGACCTTTTTTTGTTGTTGTGTATTGTCATCTCATTGTATTCCTTATCTGAAAATGTTTCGGTCTGTTGTCATTTTTTAACACTACAAGTATTTAATATTGAATGACTTTAATGTGAATGATGAAGTGACGTCATGGCTTAAAAAATTTTAAAGTAACTATTGAAACTTGATTGAAACTAAAGTAAAATGAAATTAAATTGAATTTAAATTCTTATGAAATTATCGTTTTTTCATATTTTGAGTCTGGATGTTAGATTTCTCAAAAACTGATGTTGTCTGTTAAACTTCATCCGTTAAAAGGCACTTTATTTATATTGTACCCAAAAAATAAATATACTCAACCTTTTGTAATTCCTTGTGCTGCGAAGAAAAATTTAAACTTTAGAGCAAGACAAAGTAAATAAAACTTTGATTCTCAGACTTTCATCCTCCTTTTTAACGAACTCTACGTAAAGAAACTGATAAATTCTTCATCTTATAACTGTCAATGACAAATGTAGGAGGAAACTCACGTGGGCGTTTTTACAAATCGAATCTCTTTTTCTACTATTTGTTCTTAAAATAATCAGAAAATCTTTCAGATTCTTAACGAAATCTATTTACTGTTTTGCCCAGACATGCTTATACTGTAAAGATACAATCATCAAATATCATTATTATCTTCGTTAGTCTCATTGCTCTGTTGTATTGTTACTTGGAATCACACCAATACAAATTCTTTCCTGCTTTGCTGTGAATATGATTAATAAAATCTGTGATTGCTAAGGATAAATTAAAAGCAAAAAGGAGGAAGTCGGTCCAATTATAAACCTCCCAAGATTAGATTAAGTTTTTAAGATCCTAATAGTAAGACTTTATTCAGATTAAAGTTTTTTCGACAAAACTCTCACTTGTTGTTAAAATGACTGTTACGTGATTAAAGACTCAAATAATCTTTCTGAAATTTACAATCTGATACAAAAATATGCTTAATGATAATGTGTGAAGGGCCCAGCCTTTCAGCTTGAGGCACTGCGATTCAATTGTAAAATATACTTAACCCGAGATTGAATTTTTTAAAAGTTTAACAAAACTTTATCTTAATTGCTGCATTTTTATATACATGTGACTTATTTGGTTTCATAACTACAAGACTAAAAGTTTTTCAATCTGTGCTATTCGATTTTTTTAATTAAAATCTAAAATTAAATTCAACTTTCTTGATTGAAATAAAATTTTAATTAATTTCAAGAAACAAAAAAGAAAAAGTCAAACTCTTGATGTTGATTCGATCAAAAAGCATATCCATGAATACACATAAAGCAATTGAAGTTTAATGAAAATTGTCTACTTTAAATTGCATTGCAGGTCTACGAAGCCTTAATATTTTATTATCTTAAAAAATAAAAGCACTTTGCATGTAAAACTTTACAAACCATAAAAAAAATCTTCTTTTGCACTTTGATGCAAGAAAAACTTTTTCCGCCCACATAATTACATTGCTAAAGTAATGTAAGTAGAAATTTTAATATTTTTTTAAAAAGAAACTTTTGCTGCATTTTATGTAGCTGTACAAGGTATAATTATCATAGTTAATTAAACAGAAATTCTGTTTTGTAAACTTCAAAAATACTTTAAGGCATAACAAGTTCTAGCAGCTATTCAAAGGATGACATTTAGTTAAGAATAATTATTTTTAAGCCTAAGGAATGAGCAACTGAGTTGGATATAAATGTTTCAAAGGATTGTAAAATGTAACATCAAGAACATTGATGAGAATGTCTTTAAAAATCTAAAATTGAGGATTTTTTCCAGTGGTTCTCAAACTCTCATTGAATAATATCAATAGATATAGCTAAAATACTGAAAACAATCAATATGATAATGTGTGAAGGGCCCAGCCTTTCAGCTGGAGGCACTGCGATTCAATTTGTAAAGAATCTATTATACCATACCCTTTAGACCTACAGTTTATAGTGGAATCCGAACCACTTGCAAGCTCTGCACATTGCAAAGACATGAGTTCGTCATAAGACCTGAAGAACCCTACAATGTACCTAGTCACAATTCGTGTGCACAAGATGCCGCAAGGAAATCATCCAGATGCTAGTATATCTATGTATACCTAGCAAAGGAGGCACATTCCGTGCCAGAGACATCAAAACTACACCCAACACATGAACTGAGCTTCGTAACTAGAACGGTGAAATGGAAAAAGAGCTTCGAAAATTAGACTTGGCCTGGGATTGAACCCAGGAGCTTTGGCACAGAAGGCCAACGCTCTACCATTTGATGCCATTTCAAAGCTTAGAAATGCTTTAATACAATCAAGCTTTTTGTTAAACTTTAAATCAAGAAAAATACGCCTTAAAATACGTCACACAATTCTCAGATGCGGGTGGGAGGAATAAATCTTAATCAAATAAATAAACAAGAAAAAAGCCCATTGAGTGAAAATTACGCTGTAATAAAAAAAAAAGTATTTCCAGAAGTTAAACAAAATAATAAAAAAATTTTTAATTTCGTCAGCACATGTGAATCGGAATTGGATTTCATGATTTCTAGGTGGGAGTAAATAACGTGGATATCACAAGATTCAATAATAGAAAACTTTTGATTTAAATAATAATTTCTCTCAAAATTGAGCATCACATTTCCATATTGTTTTGATTTGTCCTTATTGTGTATCCTGCCATGCAAATCTAATGAATTTTTAAAAAGTGAGTGCTATCTGCTTCATTTTGTCTGTCAATAGTATTGCTAAATACATTAATGATCTGTAGTCTTATTAAAGGTTGAATCGTTTTATAATTTCACAAAAATATTTATCATCTTGTCAAAACCAAGAGTGTAGAACTGATGTATGTAAAGACTAAAAGTTTATCAATCAGTTCCGTAGTCAAAATATGTCAATCAAGACTATTTATTTGCTTTAAGATTGACTTTATTAAATCGAGCGAGTACTGCGAGCGATTTATGGACCTGTGAAGGTATGAGAACAGTATCCAAGCTGACACAATGACGAACTATATCAGTTGCTCCAGATGGGCTCGACATGTCTTTAGTCGTTCACAAGATGCCCCAGTACTTAAAGTGACTTTTGCAGACTTTATAGATGGCAAGAAATCTAGAGGAAGACCAAAGAATACCTGGATTGGATGTGTTGATAAGGACGCTAGAGTCCTTAATATCCCGAACTGGCAGAAGGTTTCGAAGGATAGACCTGTCTTTAGACGATCTCTGAACGCGGCAATGGGCCCACGTGTCATAAATAAAATATTAGAAACTTAAAAAGCTATAGATAAATACCTTAAGAAAAGTAAATTCTCTATCCACGACAAATCGATGCGCTTAAATCGAACAAAATAAATAAAAATTTAAAAAACACATTTTATGATCCAATGAGTACACTATGTAATAACATTTTCCTTCCTTACGTGAGTCAAAGACAAACATGACATTTGTGACGCAATTTAAGAGATACAGAATAAGATG